GGGCCAGCGCGCCTCTTGCCCATCCCGGGACCCTCAGAGGGCCCAGGAAAGGTGAAGGCGCATCACGTCCGGGGAGGGGGTCAGATGCCAACTGACCCACAACCCCCCCCTCCCCTACAAATTCTGTGTTGCCCCAGCAAGCACAGACGAGGAGAAAGAGCCAGACATGTCCAAGAGATAAAACCTTATAAAGGGGCCTGGCGTCGACCAAGACGCCGCTGTGCATAAATCCTCCACACTGTTGAATAAGGCTGTTGACACAGCTACAGCCCGTGTGGAGTGCGCATGCATCCCCGTGGGGCAGGCTCTCTCTGCCTGACCGTAGGCATGTGCAATGCACTCGCAGAGCCAGCCTGCCAGGCGTTTCTTGGACAGAGCTTTCCCGATCACCCCGCCCCCGAAGCACACGAACAGCTGTTCGGTGCGTCTAAGGGCAGCCGTGTGCTCCACATAACATGCTAGCGCACGCACCGGGCAGAGGAGGTGCAGTTTATCCTCCCTGGCCCCCCATGGAGGGGGAGACTAAAACCCCCTAACTGAATAGCCCTCGACCTGAACGCACTCCTTAGGTCTTTAGACACAAAGGAGGGGTTCGGTCTAAGTGTCGCGCCGCTCCGGCCACCCCGAACTAGTAAACAACTCGGGTGCACCGACAGAGCAGTTAACTCGGACACTCTTTTGGCTGACGTTAAGGCAAGAAGCAAAGCTGTTTTCCACAACAATGCTTTCAGAGGGGAGAGCTCCAGAGGCTCAATGGTCCCGAGGCCAGAGCCTCGAGCACTAGGGGCAGGTCCCACTGTGGGGTGAAGACGTGCACTACAGGGCGCAGTCTCCTAACCCCCTGTAAAAACCGCAACATCAGTGGTTGATTAAAGGCTGACCTGCCACCAAAAACCCTCACGACAGGACGAGATGGCTGCTGCATACACTTTCACTGTGAAATGCGCCAGCCCTCTGTCCACCAGTAAGTGTAAGAAGGATAAAATAGAGCCCAACTCACAAGATAGGGGCTCTATTCCCCGCTCCTCACACCAATGCTGGAATCTCAGCCACTTTGGCCTGTAACAGGCTGTGGTGGATTCTGCTCTAGCTGCCTGGATAGACTGAATAACGCTGTCAGACAATCCACCCTGTCTCAGCCTGTCCCTCTCAGGAGCCAAGCCTGAAGAGGACGGCCCAGAGTGGGTAACGCCCCGATTGCACCTGCCCCTTGAGACATCGCCCCCCAGAACTGGGGGATCGCCCAGGGCTGGCCCACCTTCATCTGTGTCATTTCTGAGTACCACGGAGCCCCAACGCGATTCGGTGCTACCAGAATGACTGCCAGACGTTCTCGCCTCACTCTCCCCAGGAGAGGGAGAATGAGACGCAGCGGTGGAAAGGCGTATAGCAGCTTACTTGGCCATGGCTCGTGTGCAAACGCGTCCACCCCCAAGGCCGGGTCGTCGCTCAGGGCCATGGAGAACCACAGGGCACAGTGGCTGTTGCGCCGGCTGGCGAACAGGTCCACTTTTGCTCTCCCGAACTGGGCCCAGATCTGCTTCACCACCTCCGGGTGGGGTCCTTCTGTCCATGAACGCACCGTGGCCCGCTCTCGAGGGGGGGGGCCGTCATAATGCTATTTCCCTCACTATGGAAAACAGCATTTAACCGGAGTTCTTACAGGCGTAGTGTGTTTTACTAAGGCCCCTGAACGCACCGCCACGCGCCTCTTTACGAGTGCGGGCGTTGCTATAATGCAGCCCCTGTCACTATAGTAAACAGCATTATTTGGAGTCTTAGCCTCAGGCATAGAATGTTTTCTAACAGAAAAACGTCGGTCATAATGTCCCTGTACCCGCACCGCACTATAACAGTGCTGCCTGTGGTTTATCACTCTCACCTGCGCAATCCCACTAGCCTCCTCCCTAACGGGAGCTATAGCTGGGGCGGCGAGTGGGGAATTTGTACAGTCATCAACATGTGCAAGTGTATTGTGGAAACAAAGGACACTCAGACTTGGATACAGATCAACACCATCTTTATTTTAAAAATGTTGACAGAGATCTGGGCATTAAATAGACAGATAACTCCGCGAAGATGGAGTTCCCCACCCGGGTGCTCTGCTGTTGCGGAGCCTGCCTCGGTTGGGCAGCCCCTCCCCGTGATTGCCGGTATGCCGGTGCCACGGGATGGGCCGTAGAGGTGGAGGGCGCTGCAGCTACGGGACCCCCGTGCCGGCGCCTCTCCCTCCGCTTCACTGTCGTACTACGCTCCCTCCTCTGCATGGCATGCGAGGGGGTCACGTAGCGGAGCCTGAGGAGGAGCCAGCGATAGCATGCGGCTAAGCTGGACTCTCTCCTCCTCTAGGCGGCTGACTGGTTGGTGCGCAGACTCAGATAGAGTCTCTTGGCAACACGACCTTCCAATCAGCATTCGGCCGGCCTGTGGAAGTCCCTCCCTACTCTGGCGCCATCATACGTAATTTGTTTTTACTGAAGCTTTCTGCAGATATAGTGGAATCTTCATAATGCTGCTTCCTAGCTGTGTGTGGGAGCAACTCAAGGCCGGAGCGATGTCCTGTTTATGAATAACTCTTTGTTTTCTGCCAGTGTCTGCACCTGACCTTGCTACTCTGTTATTGCAGGCTAAAACTTTCTTATGAGACTTTTCCCTTTGTTTTCCTATCCAATCCATTTCACCTTGGGATTGGTGATCTTGTCTATTTATTTTATAGTCATAGCAATCTCATGAGCACAATAAGCATATAATGTAATAATAAGAATCCCTCTTGTAATGTTATATAAAAATAGACTCCACACATGCAACACCAGTCCCAGAACAATCCGCTCTGAATCAGGCTGTGTCGCTGCGGCTCAGAGACACACAGGGATTTATGTTTTAAAAAATACTTGCTTTACAATCATGTCAGGTTTTTGGTGGATTTAATCAAGCCTTGGATTGCGAGTATGAATGTCCTCTTGCTATTTTCAGTTGATAAATACGTGTGTAAAGTTTGTGAAGGCAGGAGGAAAGCTTCCGCGATCACCGTCTCGTCTGTTCCTCCAAACCCCGCCCCCTCCCTGAAGATAATGAGTAACAGGCTGATAGAAACTTTATTATTCACTTAAACAAATGTTGATCTCTGATTGAGATATGATGAAGCTAACTTAATCTCATACATTCATGGGATTTATGTAACAGTGAGACAGAGAATGTAAGTGTGCACCCACATGCAGTATTTTTGTTTTTATATGCTGTTGTAAATACTCCTGTTGTCTGCTGTGTTCAGACTCAAGTCATGTGTGTGATGCCACCTTCAAGACATTCAGTGTCCTTTTTTTAACAGAAGACCGTTGCTAGAAGCTGCAGCTAGACTGCAGAAGCATTAGTTATTTGTTTTTGAGGATGGAACAATTTCACACACAGATATAGGGAGGCTAGACCTATACAGTTGATTTATTATGATTTATAATTTAATGTCAAGACGAAGAAGAAGAATAAGATGGCTGAACTATTCAGTGTCAATCCTGTGGAGATGGAGGTTATAAATCTCCAAAATCATGTTCAGCTTAAGTCTCAGCAAAACTCACAACATTTCTGGAGCCTTGTAGACCCAGAAAACTATAAGAACATTCACCAAGCAGCACTGAACATGTCTGCTTTATTTGGCTCTACATACCTTTGTGAAGCAGCTTTTTCTGACATGAATGTCATGAAATCTTCAGAACAAGACTGACTTATGACAATTTAAATGACTATTAGAGTGAACCTAAGTGGGTACACTCCAGCATACACCTCTATGGTGGACTACATGCAGTGCCAGTCATCTCACTAACTGTAAAAAAGAGTGAATGCACTTATTTTACACATGTGCCATAAGATGCTTGTAAGATGGTGATTAACACTAGAACCGCCAACGGGTACATTTTACCCGCAGATGTTTTTTGATTGTAGGCCTATGTAACTTTTTTTCAATAAAATATTAAAGTCTCCCAGTCCGTGACTTTTCCTGAGAGTGTGTTATGTAGCACCCTCTGTTGTTAAAAATTGTCAATATGAAGTCAGATTGAAAAGATCGCCCAAAAAATTGCCATTTATACCTATATCCACCAGCGGGTAATATTTACCTCATAGAAAATGCAGCGTAAACATGACGTGTTGCTATAACAACGCCTTTTGTCTACTGCGGTTCCTTATAGATAGAGAGATAGATTGAGAGAGAGAGAGATAGATAGATAGATATATTGATAGATAGAGAGAGAGAGATAGACAGATAGATAGTTATAGATAGTGTAACATCTTGGAGAATACAAGATCTTGGATGACTGAGCTCACGTTGAGCTCAGTATACAGCGACCTCTGGCGGTTCTAGTGTTAAGGTGATGTATTTACTACGTGGGCCATAATAAGAAGTGAACAATGTTTCTTTTTTTCTTGGACATTTATGTGAATGTTCAGTGATGTACTTACTATGTGGGCCATAATAATATGTGAGAAATTGTCGTTTTCTTGGACCTTGATGTGAAGTTAAGATTTTTGATAAGCTTTAGGTATTGCAATTTCACACGTGTAGAAAAGTAGCTTAATTCAACTGATGAGTGCTATGTGAATAAATGTAAGCGATGTGATGCAAGAAGCTCTTGGCCACTTTCATTTTTTCAAAGTAGCTCTCAGATGAAGAGGAGGCGTGTGGCGTTGGTGTTCGGATTAGGGGGGTCACAGGTTCAAACCCCACTGCAGTCAGCATGTCGTTGTGTCCCTGGGCAAGACACTTCACCCCAAATTGCTCCTGTGGTGATTGTCCACAGTATTGAGTATGTAAGTCGCTTTGGATAAAAGCGTCTAACAAGTGACATGTAATGTAATGAAGAAAGGTTGGAGACCCCTGCTTTAGAAACACTAGGCTCAATGATGTGCAGTTGTAAACATGTATTAAAACATTAAACAGTACATAAAGAACATTCTTATATTCAATTTAAATAAATACACGTTAGCAACTAACAATATTTAATAAATATGAGTAAATAAATAGCTTTCAAATAAAATCATATTTTAGTAGAGACATTGCAGTTCCAGGATTGTGCTGGTAAAACTTTCTCTTTACTTTGGATCTGCAAGAGAAACAGATAACAACAGCTCTGTTAGGACTATTATATTTTAATATTGGTACACATGTTATTATTTAATATGATTACAAACATGTGGTCACTGTAACTTACTGTATTTGCCGACTGTGTTGCAGCCCAGAGAGCTCATGGAGCCGATCCGGTCCATCCGCCGGCCGAAGCAGCTGGACGACTTCCTGGTCGAGTCGCTGCGGACGCTCTTCAGGTTCTTTGCTGAGAGAAACTCCCTGATTGCTGCCTCATCCAGAGTTGGGGGGGGCTGCTGTCCGTCTGCCGCCTCCTCTGTGCTCAGGCTCTCCAGGTTCCTCTCTGCAGTGACACTCTGCTCCACTTCGGAAACGGACTCCTCGAGTCTGCTAAGGAGCTCCTGCAACATCCACATATACACAGGTTATGCCATGTCTTGCATACTAGACAGAAACATTTCAAATTTGGATTAAGGACATACATTCAAGGAAGGGCCTTCAAACAATGATGTCAGCACCTTTAGACATAGTAATCGGAAGCAGATGTTAAGACCATTAGAAGCATTTGTGATATTCTTCTAATCTACAGGGTAATCGCCAAATATTCACATTTTCAGCCCTTAATTCAATGTGGTTGACTCTACAACCGTAGCATTATTTGTCACGTTATCATGACACTTTCAGTTATTTGCTTAGAGCACATATTTAACTTCAGTAACTCATATCTGATCACATCAAAGTCCAATTATATCATATATGGTCCCAAGGGTCCAAATAATGTAGGATATGATGTTTATACATTACGATCTATAACTAAACATAAATCGGTTAAATAAAATGCAGTCTCTGCAAGTGTTGAAAGTGTTGTCCCTGTTCCCTTGATCTCATACAAACTACCACCCCAGTTTTCAGGACCAATCAGAGCCTCACCTTAAAGAAGTCTATGTCAGCGTCAGAGAGGCCGGGGCTGATGGGAGATGTGCAGAACAGCTGTAGGTTTAAGATGAGGAGGAAGCCACAGAGGGGAATGGAAGACAGACACATGTTTCCTGTGAGTTCCTGTTGATGGTATCAATGGATGAAAGATCTTGTTTTCCTGGAAGCTGTTTGGATGCTGGGCCAGCAGCAGTAGCTCTCACTTTTATACGGGAGCTTGGCACACAGAGGTATGCCAAGAATTGGACTGGCATTCCTGACACCTGCCTCTGATAACAGGAGCTGTCGGAAACGGCTCCTTTTAAAGCATTGTCCCTTAGATATGATGCATTCTTATGACATAGCTGCTTCCATTTGCTACTTTGTCTCAGAAACCCACTCCCCCCCCTGCACACGGGAAGTAGTAAACCCACAGACAGTGTGACAGAGTTTCTAAATGGAGGTGTGTACGTGATTGTGGCCTGCTGGTTTGAGAGATTGGCCTTCACTGGGAGGAACAACGCAGAGCCTCTCTAAAGGCTCCTCAGGGGCAGATGAAGGGGGACACGAGAAAAAAAAGGTTGGGAACCACTGGTCTGGCGTACTGTGAACTCTGACCTCCCTGTAGCAGGAAGCAAGGACAATGTGAAACCTCACATAACATAGATATTGCAGTTTGTCTTTGCTGTGATAAGAAATACTACCCTGTGGTATGCTCCTACACACTCCTTTTTTATTTTAAAGAAATTATATAACAAAGGCATACATGACAAAACAAAACACTTAGATACATCAAATAACTACAAAACAATTCACAAATCAGGAAAAGAGGAGAAAGAAAAAGAAAAATGAATAATTGATTGAAGCTTACACGTAATGGATACAACATTAAATAATAGCACGCAATAATTGCTATTCGTATTACGAGAAATAACTAGGAATCTTTTTGTATTTCTCTCTGGTGTTAGTGGGTTCTTGTAGTAAACACTTGTAGTAAACACTCGAATACAGGACTTTTACTGCGCTGTATTAATAGTTTTAATATTTGTAGTCAATAGCTTGACCTCAGAAAAAAGTTTGAGTACTCCATGTATATACCAACAAGCTTTGTGAGTGAGGGGAAGGACTTTAAAAATGATGTGTTGAGGGACAGGGAGCCAGTAGAGGTTCTGCAGGACAGGGTGGGTGGGGTGTTCACGGAGAAAGTCTTTGGGCGGCAGAGGAGCAGAATAGCTCTGGATGATCTGCATTTATTTACGACTTTGGAAGATGAGCCATAAGGATACTGTTGCAGGAGTCAATTCTGGATGTGATGAATGCATGGATCAGAGAATCATTGTTATGGGAGAGTTAAACATTTGAAACAATTACTATTTATTTCATATAGGAAAGTTTCATTTTAGGAAAGCCCCGCCCCCTCCTTCAGACAGATAAAAGACAACGGAGGCGATCAAACTCTCTCTTATCCCTCTTGTCTCTGGTCCCTGTCCTCCTCTCCCTTTTATCCCCAAGGACCCCCACAGAGGTTCCTTGTAGAGATGGCAAATCCGGATCCTTTTACGGACTCAGGGTCTTCTGAGTCAGTCATTGAAGAGATCCGGATCATACGAGTCCTTTGAGTCATATGAGTCAGCATCACCAAGAGCGTAGAAATCCTATCGGTGAAACCGAAAACTTGTTGCATTTCACGAGCATATTAAACTGACGTTACATTAACCTCCGCTACACAGTGTCTTTTGCTTTAATAAAAAATGTTGATCACAAAAAAAAAGGGTTATTTTGCGATTTGGCGAATCTGAGTCTGCTGTTGACTCGTGCATGAGGACGAGTCTGCTGGATCTCTGGATCTGCTGCTATATGGTTACGGCTCTGAGTCCGCACGAGTCTGCTATGTTTTGCACAGTGAGTCAGGATTTGCGAATCTCTGAGTCTGCTGTTGACTCGTGCACAATAGCCGCGGGAAGTAGGGGTGCTGGAGGCGGGGCTGTGAATGGTGTACATTTGAAAAACTTCATATCACTGTTGTTGAAATCTCTCCCCACTATTGGCCGCACCCCCTAAATGACTTCCCAGTTCCCGCGGCTATGCTCGTGCATGAGGAGTCTGGATCTCTGGATCTGCTACGGTTACGGCTCTGAGTCCCCACGAGTCTGCAGGAAGTGAAGGAAGTTCCCTTGATTCAGTGAGTTAGGATTTGCGAATCTGAGTCTGCTGTTGACTCGTGCTTGATGAGTCTGCCTGGATCTCTGGATCTCTGGATCTGCTACGGTTACGGCTCTGAGTCCGCATGAGTCTGCAGGAAGTTTCACTGATCCGCGTCCACTCCCCTGAGCCAAACGATAACTTCTGGCAGCTATCCTACTTGCTAAAGGCTAGGTAGATGGACTGGGGTACGTTGTAATGTGATTTTACATGTTATAAGGAGAGTAGCGAGTGACGCAATTTATAGTTTTAATTTGTACGTCACCAGGTGTAGGATCAAAGGACTCGGGTTAATGGAGAGGGGAGACTCGTCACGACCAGCTCATTTCTAGGATCCGGGTTAATGATCCGGATGAATCAGGACTCGCCCATCTCTAGTCTGAAGCAGCCGATTCACATGTGCTCTCCTCACCAGTTGACTGTTTGATGCATTATTTGAGTAAGTCGTTAATATGTTTTAAAGTTATTGATATTTGGTTTATGCTAATTATGTTAAAGCAACATTTTATTTTATTGTACCCTAGTGTTTTGCTCTTCCTGATTGCTATTTTTGTGTTTATATTCTAGCCTCTAAATCATCTTTAACTGTGACAGTCAACAAATGTTGTGAAGGAAATAAATTGTTAAACTGCTCTCATCTCGTCCTCATACTTTGACTGGTATGCCAAGGCAGAAAGACTTTAGGCAAACCTCAAACCCAGCTTAATACAATCTAGTTTTTACAGGCATTATATTCCTGCGTGGGAGGTGGAATTGATATCATTAATGGTTCCCGAAACAATGTAAAAAGTGCAACCATATCTGATTGTTTTCTCCCTTTTCAGAAATGTTCATTTATGCTTATTATGACACAGACCTACGTGCACACTGCGCACTTTGTAGCTTTTCTACAATCTGGAAGTCCAAACTATGCCCAGGGTCCCCGCGGATCCTTAAAAAGTCTTACATTTATTTTTTGATATTTAAGGTCTAAAAATGTCTTTAAAAGTCTGGAATTTTAGGAGGGGAGGTATTAAATTTGATCTGGGGCAGAATGAATGAGTGTGTCTATTTGTATGTTTTATTTGACTGGTAACGTTATTTTATATCCTGCAACGTCCAATACACTGAAAAAACTGATTCTGACCCCTTTTAGATGTTACATGTTTTAATCTAGCCTTTTTTTTTTTTTTAATAGATTTGAATGTGTTATTGCATCCTTCTTATCTTTTTTAATTCATCTTAACATATATTGTCACTGTTTAAAACAAGTTCATTTCATTCATTTAAAAGTAATTAGAAAAAAATATGTACAATTCAATTGCCACATATACTGTCCTGTCTGCGCATGTGCATACACAAGCAGCCCGCCACTTTCCCCTCCCTTTTCCCCTTTTACATTCGGAAGGACTGCCTGCGTAGCTCCACTGTCGTGAGGTGAACGTTCTCCACGGCTCTCCGTTTTAAGTAAGTAGCTAATTTATAGCCTTGGGTGTATCATATTATACTTAAACAGGTAGCTTAATAGCTAACATTAACGCTATCGACTGTGTGTTTTGATAGATTAACATTAGCAAACGCTAACATAGGCCTACTGTTAACCTGTTAAGCTTTTTTTTTCTTCACAAAATTGTGTCTCAGGACTTCTTAACATTTATGAAACTATTAATGTTCCATACTCACTTAACGGGAAGAAACTCAGCTAACTGACGATACGAACCATTTTTACCGAAACAAAACACAAGTCTCACAAGAAGCGTCTAAATGAGCCCTGAGCGAAAAGATTCTAGTGCGACTGTTGGTCAAGACGCAGGAGACACAACAGTCGGGTCCGTCGGGACGTGTTCTTTGGTGTCAGATTGGTGTGTAGGGGCCTTAAGTCTCACTCCTCAATGGTAACGTGTGTGTGTATGTGGAGCGTCCCCATCGATTCTATTGGCTCTAACGGTTCAAAAGAGGTGTCAATCACCAAAATCGACCAATGGGTTCCAGAGAAACGGCAAATCCACCCAAATGACCCCAAAGGTGGTTTTCCTTTTGCTAAACCTCTCTAAAAAGGTCAAATGTCACTTGTTTTGCATCAATCTTGATACAGGGTACTTATTATATGTTATAGTCTGGATTCCTAAAGCTTTTAGTCTACTATCCCATCATTCAAGGGTGGTTTTCACTATAAGTAATGTTTCTTTTTTGGACGGACATTATAATTTACATTTTTTTACTATGTTCAATCTGAATTTACTTTAAAATAAAAGCGTTTAGTTTATTTAATAAAAGAGCACATGTTCAATGTGAAAAGTGACAGTAGATATAGATTGGTTGCAATTTGGTGCTATATATATAGATATATATATATATTGGTCCTCCCGATCCAATCTTTTTTTGCGTTAACGCGTTATTAACGCGTTAACTTGACAGCCCTAATATATATATATAAAAAAATAAATCATTTCATTTCATTTCAAACCTTTATTTATTCAGGTTGTATCCCATTGAGATCATTGACCTCTTTTTCAAGGGAGACCTGCTCAAGTAGGTTCCACATGAAACATTAAAAACATAAACAGAACAACAAAAGGACATCATACAGTAGCATTACAGGGATTACAAATTACATACTATCCACATGCACAGGTACCAACAGCTTCCGATTCAGTAGCATCTAACCGAGCTTTAAAAACATTTAGTGGCAACAGATTGCTCAGTTTCCATTTTAATTGCAGACTATTCCAGGACAGTGGAGCTGCGCATCTAAATGCTATTTTCCCTAAGACAGTCCTAGCAGTTGGCACATTTAATAAAACCACAGCATGCGATCTCAGGCAGTAGCCACTTACAATTCACCGTGAGATCAGGGACCAGATGGAGGATGGAAGTTTCCCTAACATGGCTTTATATATAAAAATGTACCAGTGACTGAGCCTCCGTGCAGTTAGTGAAGGCAGACCAGCCCTTGCATACAGGGTACAGTGATGAGTTAATGCTTTACAGTTTGTCACAA